ACGTAACGAGAACTGGTGCTTTCAATCTAATTGTGTGTGCAAAGCAGTGAGAATTCACTGTTATTTTGCTACTGGGTTGTATTTTGAAGGCCTCGTGGTTCAGTGTGGGGGATACGGGAATCTTTGATCGATACAACCAACACCTCACCCGATACCCACATGAAAATTTCACTGTAACCAATGTGTTTGAATCAGATACATCACCTGAGGATGATCGGTAAATTAACGGATCAACATGTTAAAGATATAAGGAATGTTAAGACTTTTTTGTACTACACACTTTTTACCTCAGCTTATTCCTATCTATCTATCTATCTATCTATCTATCTATCTATCTATCTATCTATCTATCTATCTATCTATCTCCTGTTACCATTTATCTATCTGTTCATATCTATCTATCTATCTATCTATCTATCTATCTATCTATCTATCTATCTCATTCTGTTGATATTTATCTCAATCTTCTCACTTCTATCTATCTATCTATCTATCTATCTATCTATCTATCTATCTATCTATCTATCTATCTATCTTACTTTTTATATTTTAGTCTGTTCATATCTATGTTTCTATCTATCTCAATCTTCTCACTTCTATCTATCTATCTATCTATCTATTTATCTATCTATCTCACTTTTTATATTTTAGTCTGTTCATATCTATTTCTTTTCCTATGTCAGCCTTCTCATATCTATCTATCTATCTATCTATCTATCTATCTATCTCATTCTGTCGATATTTATCTATCTCATTCGGTTCATATCTATTTATCTATCTTTCTATCTATATGTCTGTCTGCCTCACTTTTCATATGTTAGTCTGTTCATATCTATGTTTCTATCTATCTCATCCTTCTCATATCTATCTATCTATCTATCTATCTATCTCACTTTTCATACTTTAGTCTGTTCATATCTATTTATTTTTTTATCCCAACCTCCTAATTATCTATCTATCTATCTATCTATCTATCTATCTATCTATCTATCTCAGTCTGCTTGCGTCTATCTCAATGTTCCTTTCGAATTCCCTATCTGTTGACATCTATCGCAATTTGTTTATATATGCCCCCATATGTATTGAGAATGCTTCATACCATATATCGATATTTATAAACCTTATACGTAAAGACACACAGGTGTATAGGCACAAATAGCGGGAGAGATTTGTTAACTCAAGTCCACGGATAAACGTCGGGAATTAACACTGTACTGTGCCTGATTTTCAAAGGTCTGTTTCTCTTGGAAATTTTCTGCCATTTGAAAATAGGGTTGGTTAACTGGATTCGAACACTGGCCTCTAGCGCTGATAAGAACACGCACACATACATGCATAATAATATTAATAACTGGCACGCGTAAACGAAGATACCCGTCTACTAGGGTGTCTAGCTAATCCCTATTGCAGACGCTTGCTCAGGCACATTTGTGTTCGTTCAACACCCACAGATTCCACCTGTGGTTTATACTACAACCATGCTGAACAGACCTTGGTTACAGTTTCTGGGAGAGAGCGTGTAATCTAACGTGATCAACAATCTGAAAAAGACCAGCACGCCCGACCCCTCGGTCACGATGACTTGTGACTACATGCTAGCAGAGCCATCGACATATATAGTTAGACACACACACATACACTTATCTGCATGTAGAGGGAGAAGGAACCTAGTGAGGACCGAACGAGCTAAATCGGCCTTTGATCTCGTTAACCATTACCCTACGGCGCGGGGCCACACACACACAGGCACAGAGAAACACCGTTTTGTTCCGTCGCCTTTCCATTCGCTATGTCTGTATGTCTTTTCTCTCTCTCTCTCTTTTCTCTCTCTCTCTCTCTCTCACTCTCTTTCTATCTCTGTCTTTTTCTGCCCCCTCCTTATTATTCTATTTCACTCTCTCTATTTTTATTTTCCTGTCTCTCTATTTCCTCTGTCTTTTCTGCTCTCTCCTTATCACTCTGCTTCCCTTCTTCTCTTTCTCTCTCTCTCTCTCTCTCTCTCTCTCTTTCTCTCTGTCTTTTTCTGCCCCTCCTTATTATTCTATTTCACTCTCTCTATTTTTATTTTCCTGTCTCTCTATTTCCTCTGTCTTTTCTGTTCTCTCCTTATCACTCTGCTTCCCTTCTTCTCTTTCTCTCTCTCTCTCTCTCTCTCTCTCTATATATATATATATATATATATATATATATATATATATATATATATCTGTCTTCCCTCAATCACAGAAAATATAATCGACTGCGTTCGAACTTCCATTCTATCTATCCTAGTTGTTTTTCTTATCTCATATATATATATATATATATATATTATTTTTGTCTATCTATCTATTTCAGTTTTATGTATTTCAGTCTCCCCACCCTCTTTATCTGTCTAGCTAACTGGTGACGTTTAACTTAGTCTGTTCCTATCTATCTATCTATCTATCTATCTATCTTAGTTGTTTCATATCTATCTGAATTTATATATATATATATATATATATATATATATATATATATATATATATATATATATATCTTTTGTCTGCCATTCATCTATCTATCTATCTATTTCAGTTTTATAGATTTCAATCTCTCTCCCTCTTTATCCGTCTAGCAACTAGTGACGTTTAACTTAATCTGTTCCTATCTATCTATCAATCTACCTATCTATCTATCTATCTATCTATCTATCTATCTATCTATCTATCTATCTATCTATCTATCTGAATCTGTTCGCGTCTATGTTAGTCTGTTTATATATATCGCCATATGTATTAAAAGACTTCCCTACAATATGTGTATACATATGTGTATATGCGTGTGCGCCAGCGTGTAGTAAGAGGACGCTTGCCGTAGAGCGATATTTAACTGTTCCTCATTCTATTTACTTTTTTTCTTTTTTAGTATTGAGCTCTGTTCTCTGTGTGAACTCCTTCATATTTTATATTTCTTTGCCATCAGATATCCCGTAGTTTAGGCTAATTTCCAAATTCCGACTCTCACTGACAGTGCTCAACTACCTTAAACCTTTGCTCGACAAAATCTGAAAAAAATTTTACTGTAGGTTGTTGGCGAGCAAGCCATAGTTGTAGGTTGGATTTTAACCACGCGCTCCAATTCTGTGACCCTGTGCAATAGTTTGGCCTTAGTCTGACTGGAACAAATTCTTCCAGATGGTCCCCACCCTTATGGGCACATCACACTAGAACAATATTTCTAAACATTTTTTTTTTTTATTTCAGGGTGCATTTGTAGAATAGCTAAAATTCTGGGGCGGACTTTATATTTTAATAAGGAAAAATTAGTCATGGAATCTGTAAGAAAATAACTAAAAGCCTCCTGAAACAATGATTTATTTCTATGACATTTCATTGTATATTTAAGTATGCTTGTGTGTAACCTGTGCTTTGACACAGAAGAAAATTACCTGCTTGCCATGTTTTGGTTTGCCATTTCCCAAAGAAGATTTCCGAAACAGTTTTCATGATTTATGAAGAATCTGCTCCTTTTTTTTTTTTTTTTTAAGAGGCCGATAATGTCTGATTGAAATCCTTTGTGGAAGACAAAAGGGAAAGGATAATCCCCTCCTTGTCAAAGATTAAGAAATTTAACATCCAATTTAAAATTTCAAATGACGAAGATATGGAAAGCATATATCTAGTGTCTCTTGCTTTTCAGAAATAAATAAAAATAATTCATAAATTACTCTCCTTGTTAACTTGGGATGCATCTTGGCTACCTTTCAAGATGCATTAGTGCAACCGAGCTCACTGGGTGAAAATGCAACTCTCCGAGTATGAGTTTACTTTAAAAAAACTCAGTCTGTTCGGGGCATGTTTATTCCGAGCAAAACTGAGAAAGGCTACACTAGAATATTCTCTGGAAAACCGGACTGCCCCCAGTTGAACCTTCCAAGGCCGGTCCTGAAACATGCTTAAAGAAACCTGTGTCCGTAAATATATGTCCATCAGAATAAACTTTTATTTATTAAGTAGATATACATACGTAACTGTTGTTTTACGGACAGATAATAAAAATTAGGGTTTAAGATTGTGAAATATCGAAACGGAAATGAGTATTATTTTCCCGATACTTTTTGTTTTAAGACACTACGTGCAGGATGTAGGTAATCCATAGGCAATTAACAAACAAGTGTTTTTGATCCAATATCAGCCGGCGTATAAACGGAATTTACGAGCAAAAAAAAGAAATTCCCTTAATTGATCTCATCAATCTTTTTCATCATCTGAACTTGAATCATGTGGTAGTAACATTACCTTATTTTAGAGAGTTACATTGACTCTGATGAATATAGGTCTATCCTCTCTCCCCATATATGTATATGGTCGGGCCACACACACACACACACGCACGCACACACACACACACACATATATATATATATATATATATATATATATATATATATATATATATATACATACAGGTAATGCCGCAAAGTTTTCGTTCAACACACTTCTGAAATTTGACGACTTGATAAAATATATTTATGGGGGGACTTTTTGGTCGGGTCACTCATATATATATATATATATATATATATATATATATATAGAGAGAGAGAGAGAGAGAGAGAGAGAGAGAGAGGAGAGAGAGAGAGAGAGAGAGTTTTAAATTTGCTATGTGTGTGGGGAAGAGAACTCTATGTTCGGAATAGAGCGTTGGTAGATATAAAACGTGTGGACATAGAAATAAATCCTGCATGCTGGCTGTCATTTTCCCGCCAGATCTGATTTTCCCGCCTGATCTTACGGCGTGAAACTACCAGTCAATATGAAGTGTTGATTTGTATATCTACCCACTTCTCTCTCTCTCTCTCTCTCTTTCTCTCTCTCTCTCTCACACACACACACACACACGCTTTCTCTATATCTATCTATCTATCTATCTATCTAGAGAGAGAGAGAGAGAGAGAGAGATAATATACAAAAGGTTAATGGTCAGAGTTGATTCAGATCAGATAACAGTCGTAGTGATCAATACACGTGTAAAAAAATAAAATAAAAGTAAAATAACATGGAGAGCTCTTAACTTTAAAGATCAGGAGTTCCGTTGAATCCGCTGATTCAACTGATCGACTGATTTATATATATATATATATATATATATATATATATATATATATATATATATATAAACCTTCGTAGCTATTATTACACAAAATAAACAGCTCACATCAAATAAAGTATCATTCCCCACAGAAGACTGTACCCTGAAGTGTATATAATATAATTCATGTTCACATATATTAATATAAGAGAAAATACAAATAAAAATATAAAATAATAAATCGCATTCGATTTGTGTGGTTGCGCTCCCAATAATTGTTATATATATATATATATATATATATATATATATATATATATATATATAACTATGCGTATTATTCCTCACCAGTAGCACGACTCTGAGTTTCATGTATAACGCAAGTCGTGTTACCGAAGAATAATATGCATAATTATTAATGTGTGTGTTTGTGTCTGGTGGGGAATTGTCACTGAAAGATAATGGCAGATATTTGGAAACAAGTTGGAAAAACACCAAAATCTACTGTTTTATATTGTTTCACCATTACGAGGGTTGAAAATGAAAGTAGCAGCTTTTTGCTGTTCCTCATTGCGAGGCAAGTAAACATACATTTACAGGAAATTCTCACCCATCCACTGTCGCGTCATACAACAACTAGACATTTTATTTTCATTTTTATTTTCAAATATCCAACGATGGAATAGATCATATGAGGAAGCGGTTTTCACATAGGCATTGATGAGAAGCAAACACAAGCCAGTCTTTGCCAACATTTGAACTCTGTTTGTAAATGCATCTTCTTTGCCTTTCACCGACCGGTAGATTTTTATTAATGCATGTGAGTATGCAACCACTGCACACAAAATGTACATACACACCTGCTGGTACCTCATTTTAAATGTCATATCAGGGGTGACCAAACCGCGGCTCGTGAGCCACATACGCCCCTTTGACCTTTAATATGCTGCTCGTAGAAATACGTTGACTGAGTTCCTTTTTTCATCACAGTTAATATAAAAGATAAATAAGAAAAATTCCAAGCTTTATAATTATTTATTGGGTATGAATTGAGACCCCATTGGATTAAAACGTAATTTTAATGTTTATGTACATGTAACAAAATCGTATGTGTAAATTTTATTCATGTCTTGTGGCTCTCAAAAATCCGAACTTTATCCCTTCTTGTTGTGTCGTCTGGTTTCATCAAATCTATATCAATCTGAGAAACCTACAGCTAATTCTGAAATAAACCCTTTATTTAGGAGTCGCCAAATTGCAGCTCATGAGCCACAGGCGGCTCTTTGATTTTTAATATACGGCTCGTAGAAATATGTTGGCTGAGCTTCTTTTTTTCATTACAGTTAATATAAAAGGTAAATAAGAAAAAAAATTGCTGTATAATTATTTATGTATGGATTGGGAACCCATTAGATTAAAACATCAATTTAATTTTCATGGTTTGTAAAAATATTTAAGAATTTATATTATATTGAATCAATTGCTACATCCACGGTAAGGAAAATTGGTTCCCTGTGTTGCGCCAAAAAGTTTTTCTCGCCCGAGTCCATCCTTCAAATCTATAAATCAACCATTTTCCCTTGCATGGAATATTGCTGTCATATTTGGTCTGGTTCCCCCGCTGTTCTACTTAGGGTCCTCGACAAAATCCAGAGACGGATATCCAGTGTGGTTGGTCCTGATCTGGCATCTCGTCTACAGTCGCTCTCTCACAGACGTGCCGTCGCCTCCGTCTGTCTTTTCTACAAATTCTTTCACGGTAACTGCTCCGACGAGCTACTTTCGCTAGTTCCCAGACTGCATGAATTTAAGCGTGCTACTAGGCTGACATCACGGTTCCTACCCTTTCATATGTATAATGTAGAAATTTTTATTAGAAATGTTATGATGACAAAAAAGAAAAAAAAAAAGAATTTTATCATTAAATTTTGCACTCATGAAAATATCCTCCTCCAGCCTTGATTACTGCAGAACACATTTTTGGCATTCTTTGCAAAAGTTCCTCAGAGTATAAATTTGATAACTGACTCCATTCTTTTTTCAATGACTCTAAGAGGTCTTTTTCATTTTTTTCAGTTTTCTATCATGTTCACCTCATGCTAATTCTGAGGGTTGCTTCAAACTTTTGAACTGTAGTGCATATTATACTAATAATTATACTCGGTTGGTAAAAAGCACGGATGGCACAATTTGCAAATATATCAAAACAAATAGGTACCCGAGGTAAAAAAAAAAAAAAGAAAGAGCTAGAAATATCCGAACAGAACGAAAAAATCGTCCAGTGCCTTAAAATTCCAGTCGAATGAAAAAAAAACTCAAGCGAGTAACTAAGATAAAACTTAGAGTGCTTAATACGCTAGGCTCTTTAGGATTGTTATATATATATATATGTGTGTGTGTGTGTCTGTGTGTGTGTGTGTGTGTGTGTTAGTCATTTCATCAAAAGCAGTAATGTCACAAAGAAACAAAGAGTTACTGTGGATAAAAGAAAACGAGAAGACCAGAAACCCAATCCTAAACAAGAAACAGGGGATAAACCTCTACTCCTGTTCAAAAATGGAGAAGTTATGGGATCTAGGCGATAGGCAAAATATGTTTCTTTGAACAAGACTGGCAAGGTACTTTTACTTAATTCTTTATTTTGTCTTTCCTGTATGTGAATAAGTGATTTCTTTAAAAAAAAAAAACAACAAAAAAAATAAACTGACGTACCTTTTCAATAAATACCTTTTCAATAAGATATATTTCGGTAGCAAATATTCATCGAAACAACTTTGATTTAAAAAAAAAATAACAAGTTCTTTCTGTTTAATTTTATTTCTTTTGTATTTTTCCAATTTTCGGACAAGGCGTTCAAGTATTGTGCTCGAAATTGTAGATAAACTGTCCGATTTTTATATTTCGTCATTTTTCTTCATGTACTTTCAACTTTCGTTTTCATGATCAAGAACCGATATATATATATATATATATATATACTGGACTTTCACTTCGATTTTTCGACGTATGAGGGTAAAACAAATAAGTTCCTAGGAAACGACAGCCAGACTCCTGCACATATGATTTGATTATAGTGGTCGACCAACGACAGAGTTAAATACAGATGACTGGTGCACAACGTGCCGCAATGGTCCCCAAACAAACCTTCGCAGGTTTTTGAATTCAGAGTTGTCCTTCTTCTAGACCGGTTGCCATCCAAGGCTACAGTATCCAGTCTGAAATGCTATTTATCTATAACTGGGCGGAGTGAGAGAAAGAGTATTTATAACTTTCCGAATGGTATTAGCACGTAAATGAATGTAATGGATTCGACTGGAATTCGAACTAGGCACACACACATAGACACACACACATATATATTTATCTTTATGTGTGTGTATGTGTATGGGTGGGTGGTTGATGGGTGTATTTAAGATGTTTACTAACTCTAGCTTAGTTTGACTCACGACCACTAGTGTAATGCAGTCATTTGAGGCATCAACTCACTCGATATTAGTAATGGTCTGCTAAACACGCACGCTATTTCTTCCCCCGACTACGAAGTCTTGTGATACTTTAATTTAGTCCAGCGGTGATATATAGCCACAAGTGCGGTGCACCCAACGAGGACTGAACTCCTAACACAGACAAACTCGCTCGCTCTTTCCCTAAGGCAAAGGCGGGCCGAGGTGCCTGTATGCGTGTGTTCGCGTGCGTGTTAAGAGGTAAGTGGGTCTTTAGTTGAGCAACACACATATCACGTAAGCGAACAAATTTATTCCGCTGTTTCAGTAAAGGGAGTTGGATTATCTCACGGAATCCCTATTGGGATAATCTCACTCTTCTCATTTCATTTCTTTTGCATTTTCAGACCGCCAATTTTTCCCCTTGGCACTTTCTTTGTTTTCTTTCTTTCTTTTTTTTTTTCTTTTTGTGTGTTAATTTCTATCTCAGCCTTACGCTCTCTATTTTCCTTCATTCTCAGTCTCCCTCACTTATATTCTCTCGCTGTCTTTCTCTCTCTCTCTCTCTCTCTCTCTCTCTATCTATCTATCTATCTATCTATCTAGCATTTTCATTTTTTTCTTTTCTTTTTTCCTTTCTTAATAGCAGATAACTTCTCTCTTCGCTTCGCTTCATTCTCTTTGTTTCTCTACCCTCAAGTCTGTTTCAGTTAGTCTGTCTGCCTGTCTGCCTGCCTGCCTATCTATCTATCTATCTATCTATCTATCTATATATATATATATATATATATATATATATATATATATATATCTTCTTTTTCCTCTTTCTTTATGACAGACAATTTCTAACAGCCTTATTCTTCCTATTTTCCTCACTTTCACTTTCTCACAGTCACATTCTCACTCTCGCTATCTATCTATCTATCTATCTATCTATCTATCTATCTATCTATCTATCTATCTTTTCCCCTTTCTTTATAACAGTCAATTTCTGACAGCCTTATTCTTCCTATTTTCCTCACTTTCACTTTCTCACAGTCACATTCTCACTCTCGCCATTCATCTATCTATCTATCTATCTATCTATACATATTTTTTTATTTTTTTACCTTTCTTTATACCAGTCAATTTCTCCCTCGGCGTCATTATCGTTATCTCCCCTTCCTTTCAGTTTCTCCCCCTCTCGCTCTCGCTCTCCCCCTCTCTCTCTCTCTCTCTCTCTCTCTCTCTCTCTCACTGTCTTTCTATCCATCTTTATCCTCTCTCTGCATCTGTTTACCTTTCTTTCTCTCGCCATATTTGGTTGAAGGGGAGTAGATTCAGGGAACCGTGACAACTCTACCGAGCTCTTTCTTCTTTCTTTTTCTACATTTTCCCTCGCACCTTCTGTCTGTTATAAGCTGCATCCATTGTTCTCTTTCGCGCCTCTGAACGCTCTCTTCCTCTCGCTCTCTCTCTCTCACTCACTCACTCCCCCCACCCCTGTTTTCTCTCCTCGCTGA